TTTTGAAACTCAGGATTTTAACAGAAGCAGGTTTTAACACCCACGGAAACTGCTGAAGTGTGGAGCCCCATACACCACATACTGAAGGTATGGTTTTCCTTAACTAACACTGCAGCACTCAGCCTTTGCACTGAGTGTGCAGATGGCAGCAGCAAGTACAACCCACACGTCCTTGGTAGTGCTGGACAGTAGTATCAGAGGTTTCTAACTGCAGTATAAATATTTATCATGACAGTAACACGTGCTCAGCTTTTATAGATTGCCATTAAGAGAGACTGACAGTACCTAGTAGAAGCTTCACTGTAGGATACTCAAGTAGAGCCTCTTCTAAGTCAAATTTCAAGGGAGAAAGAAGTGCAATCTTTTAACAAATTTCCCGTCCCAAGTCCAAGTCCCATATACTGGAGCTAGAGCAAATTATTTTTTTCAAATAAATGTAAACTGAAGCAAAGACTTAGCACTGAAAATTTCAGCCACAATAAATATACTAACTGCAAATGTTAAATCTTTTAAAGAGAAAGTCCTGGCTTTGGACAGATTTTGATTTTGAGGAAGAAAATAATCTAATTTTGCAGTAAATGTTTGTTCTGCATTTTAGAAGTTACAATTTATTTTAAAAAGCTGATCATCCCCCTACTAAAATATGTCAGTCTAGAAGTGATGTTAAGTGCCTTATGAGAACTCTTTGTTTCCTCTTTCATGTTTTGCTACATGTCAGAGAATCTCCTGGATAAAATACTCCTTGAAGAGATGGTTTCCTTCTCCAGCAATAGGAAATCATAGTGAATGGTAGGAAGACAAGCCCATCTACAATCCCAATTTTAGTCAGCTATCATCTAGTCAGTACAGTCTGTGGTGACTAGAATGCAGTTCAGTACACCAGAAGTAGACATCTTTTTTTTAGGAAGAGAGAAATCACATTTTAAGCACCATTGAACAGATCGACTAGCTACACACTGAATATAAAGGGATGGTTTGCCTATGAGATAGGTGTCTACCATTTAGTCTACTGACCCCAGCTGAGGTATGTGGGTCAGGTACATTGAAGCAGAAGCATACTTTTCACCCAACCTGAGGCAAGTCAAGCACCAGGAGAGTGCATGAAACACTGCTGTCTCTGTAGCCACGTAAAATTACTAGAAATACCACTTGGTCAACATTTACATAGACATGTAAAGCCAAGGTACATGATGCAAGAGCATGTTAAATTGTTTTTACTTTGGGGAAAAATTTATGAATAAATCATGTGCATGTTTTTATTATACGAAGTTGTAAGTGCATTCGCTTTGCTTATTTGTGTTTGATGTACAAGGCATACAGAACATTCACCCAAAAGATGCTAGCAAATCACTCAAACTTGCACATTAACAAACCTTGTGTAGAAGAAGGGGACCTCTCTCTCTCCAGGGACTAATGAAACAAAAATTACTTGTGCTAAAAGGTTTTGCTAGCTAGAGTATTCCACATCAAAACTCCCCAAGCCCCATCATGCTTCCACAGTAAGACTAGGAAGTAATTGAGTGCTTGTGTCTGTACATTACATACAGTTAAATGAACAAGAAAACATAAATGATTTTGTTTAAAATATAAAGCCTTATTATTTGAATCTTACAGTGTTCATTTGGCCCAGAAACACTGTATTTTTAGAGCAGTCATCACAAAATTTGCTTCTAAATTGTTGGCAGAAATATATAAAAAGAAGTTCGTTTTGTTTGACTATCAGCAATTTAATTTGAATGCGAAAGTGAAACTGGCAGCGTTATAACCTTGTAAATTCCTTATGCCATTGTTATGCCTGCTATCCTTAGTTTCATTTCCTTACCATAGTTCCTGTACCAGAACACACAGCTATCAGCTTCTTTGGCTCATCTGTAAAAATTGTTCTGAAGGAGTGGACAGCAAGCACATCAAGGGAACTACCCCACACCAGTCCAGGAACGCTTACTCAATGTTACGCAGTTTTTAAGGAGAGAAACAACTAAGACCAAAGTAAGATTCGACTCCCTTGGCAACAGGAGGAAGGCTCCAGGGACGTTAGTAACATTTCTTGGACAAAGGAATTGTTTCTGTGGTGGATATGGCAACAGCATACAGCCTGACTCGGTCAATTACTCCTGCAACAGTTTCATTATACAAAACCATTTTCACACAGATTGTTCACACATATTTACTAATACAAATGTTTTCAATTAGTTTTGATTAAACAAATCTGTTTTTACAAACTGCCTAGAAATCTATTTATCATTTCCACCAAAAGGAATACAGTATCATTTGTTTTCTAATTTTCAATATTCCAAAGATTTCCTTAACACTGCATTAAAATGTTTTTGCTAAGTAGTAGCACACCTGGGTTTCCTAGTCATTGAGATGAACACGCCTCTTTATTCCAGGAAAATTCAATAAAAAATTAGGTTAAGCAAATGGAAAATGATTATATGAACATAGAAGGAAAGATCAGTGCGTGATACACACACATATATAAACACAAATACTATTTATCTTTAATAGTGGGTTTACGTTATAAGTAACAGAAAACAGTTCTACGAAACAGCATTCAAATTTGTAATTCAATGTAGAGGGCATAAAATTTGGGGAATTTTAAGAAAGAATTGAAGGCATCAATTTATTATTTCAAGAAGTGTTAGCAGTTTTTTTTGTAATGGATGCAAAGTGTACTTTAACCTGACAGCTATTCGTTTCAATGCAAAGTCTGCCTGTAGCAGGGAAACAAAACCTAGTTTGTGGACTCAAAACTACCCATTGATCAAAGCCCATGATGTGTAACACTTGCAATACAAAACTTCTTCTGCCCTGAATAAATTTGCACAATTGACAAAATTTAGATTGGCTCAATTACTTAAACAGAAATGTACTCTCCTGGTGCATTTCATCATTTAACTTCATACTGACAACAGCTGATGGAATAAAAATATATGTGTTCAAAATTAACTATGTACTAACATTTCCTTCAGACTGAGTTTTAACCCCTTCCCTCTCTCTTTCTGCAACTTTATTTCCATTAGCAAGGGAAATGTTCTTCTGATAATAAGCTAATACCAATGGCCTGGCTGTTAAAATTATTTCAGTTTAATTCAAACTCATCAGCATTTTCCTTGGAGCATGGCATCAATTATGAATAATTCACTTATCAATAACCAATTAAAGGCACATGATACGATATACTTCACTGTAGAAAAAAGTGGTATCAGTAGTCGTGAAAATACAGATTACCTTTTAAACTAGAATATAAACTGATAGGAAATGTGTTCACTCTTTCTGTTAAGGCCACTAGGGAATTAGGAGAAATTTTATCTTATTACTAGAGAAATGGGGAGAAGAAACAGTCCAACATTTTTCTTTTAACTTGGCAATTATTAGTACCTACTTTTTAAGACAGCAATCCATTAAAGCAGGGGAAAAAGCAGCACAGTTCTAACAAAAAAGTAAGTCAGAAAAACCCCACACTTTCTTTAACTTTGTAACTACAACTTGAAAATACAGGGAAAAAGTTTAGTATTGTAAATGAAACATTTGAAATAACTAATATTTTAGTGGTATTACCATGCACTGCACAAAATTATTACCTTGAGTTTATTAACAATTTTTTGTGTAATTCACATGCTTTTTGTACTTCACATTTACTCTTCATTGTAATGCATGCAGTAAAGCACAAATTCATTATATTTTTACTATCTTGGTTTATTTTTGCCATGGCTTTGCTACATGTAGAAGGTATCAATGCATAGTTGGAAATATCAACAAATTTCAAATCTACATGAAATACTGGTAAGGAATTGTTAGGCAATTCATTCGTAATAGGCAGGTGTATCTCCAAGGTAACATGGGCTGAAACAAATATTTAACTTCTCTTTTGTTCTCTAATCTGGCTACCCACAAATTACAGCATTACATGCAAAGTGTCAGTTTACCTTGAAAAGTTGTCAATGGCTTGAGCTAAAGTTGCCTAAATGTCAGGAAGAGGTATGAGACTGCCATGTCTGTTTGGAGGGAGAGAGAAAGCAGTCATGTGTCACAAGTGCTTGCTAGATTTCTCAGTGGTGTTCACCTACTGGTGTGGTAGAACTGGTATAGGAACATGAGCAGAAAAATAGTATTTTGAAATACAGCTGAAAATTATTGTAGAAAACCCCACAAAAATCACTAGAAATACAGAGAATGAAAAGAAATGTTTTTATACTACTGAAGATGTACCCATTAACTGATCCTTAGACATAGCTAGAAAAGTACAGTACTAATCTTAAGGACTGTTGGTGGACATAGAGTTACCAAAAAATGCTACAGCTACAATCTAAAATGAGAAAGTGTAATTCTCCACTTTGTTCCTATATGCATTTCCCTTTGCAACAAATCTGGATAAAGCACAAAATGATACAAATATTATAACATGAAACAAGAATACAGAAAATTTTCCACACAGATTGAAGTGTTCACTTCTTGCACAAAATATATTCATTATTAGCATTTCATAACCTATAGTTTAAATTACAGGTTAGAAGTAAATGAACGAGCAATGCCCCTCCTCTACTAAACTATCATGCCTTCGGATAAAAGACAGCTCCTGCTCTGAGGGCTCTAAAGCAAGACATTTCTGATGTTGTTTCTGGGAAAGTTTTACATACTATAAAAGACAGAAATCCACAGTATGAGGATAATCCTTTAAGGAATGTTCTGCTTTTACAATCTTCTTTCCAAGAAAAAACCTTTTATTCAGTTTATAATAAAGGCTAAACAGGCCCACTGTACTGTCAGACAAGTTTCCATAAGCATACATTTCCAATATGAAGAACAAATTGGGCAGAGACTATTCTTTTTGTGGGAAGGCACATGTTAAAAGGGTGAAACACTTCCTGTAATTAGCTTAATATGCTGCAGAGAGCCTTTAGTACTTTGCAGCCATAGAAGGTCTCTGGTACCCATTAAGCCAGCTGTCCCAGTTAATATTTTCTGTAATTTTTTTTTGTACTTTAATATACAGTATGAACACATCACCTAATCTTTGCACCCTTTGATAATTTAAGTTCAGCACATGCTACCCTATATATATTCTTCCATAAAAATAATCCCTTTTGGCAGCTATTCATCACAAACTGCAGTAATTAAGTCCCATCTCCTTAAAGGGCAATGGAGTTCAATGAATAAAAAATAAACATTAATAGACATTTCTCAGCGTGTACACTGTAAACTAAACAAGATCTTAATTTTTACTTTGGGACTTTTTCTGAGAAATTTCTGTAAATGAAAACTGTTACTTTGAACAATCCACAGTGCAAATGACTATGTTACGAACCTGCAACATAACATTTTTCCTTAAGAAATTTATTTACGAGGAAATTTCTATTTCCAAATAATGCATTTTATTTTACAATAATAAGGATAATATTGCACTTAATGGAAAATGCTGTTTATGAGTAAAAGAGTAAGATCTTTAAGCAAACTCACATTTTGAGCAATTTTTATTTTCTTGTATCTTCCTGAATCTTCCCTAAAGCTTATGTTTTACTGTAATAAATAAGTTTGCCTTTACACAATCCTTAAATATTTACTAAAATTCCTTAGTTCCAAATTAAATAATATTCATAATTACTATATTTTTAAAATTAAACAATTTGGCCAACAGACATAATACTGTAACCGAACTGCCTTCTCCTAACCACAAATAATAGCTAGTAATTATCTGCAAATTGAGTACCAAGCAACTACAGAGGAATAGAATTTAGTAGAAACACGGTATGATAGCAGTGTTCAAAGAGGTGCAGGTATACAGCTGCATGTTGTGAAATACAAACAGCATTTCTTTTAAAACAACTGAATAGAAGAGTCCAGCAGGAAAACAAATAAATTCAAAAGGATAACTGATATTTTTTAGGAGTGCCATACACTACTAAATTCTCACTAGTAATTAGCAATTATATAGTACTTTACATTTTTAAAGTACTATACAAATGCTGTCTAGATGAAAAGTGGTATCTAAATGCAGAATACAAATCTAAAGTGAATGGTGATCAGATGAACGGCACGATGACAGTAAAATGTAATGTAATCACTACAGAGAGAGACTAAGTACTTTATAAATCAACTAGCTATGCATGAACTATAATGGAAGACCACATATTTTATAAGGGGACTGTATAGATTTAAAATTATTACCATTCATTAAATAGGTTTCTGTGACCACAAGGAATTGACACAGGAGCTTTAACTGGCTCCACAGGCTTAAAATGCCTAACTCAGAAGTCATAGGAAACATAAGGAAACCACTTCAGTGATAAACAGACAGCTTATTTCAAGTGCTAATACAAACAAGCTTTAAGAACCATCATTCTTACACATCAATGCGGATTCCATGTTTTATAGACATTAATTCTCTAGTGCCTGTTAAATACATAATAAATGAACATAGATGAGGTAAAGATGCTGTAATTGCCACATACAGCCAATATGGCAAAGGAGGAGTTTTTCCAAACGGGCAGATCCAGAGACCATGACGAATCCCGTCACGGACATGATGAGAAGTCCAGGATATGAACAACATCCAGGGAAGAAAGCACCATGAATCCTTAAGCCTGAAAAGGTGCATAATAAACTTTAATGTCAGAGCCACAACAGGAATCACAGTAGAACAATGAAGAAGTGGTCTCTGTGGAAGAGTCAGAGCAGCCTGCAGAAAAGAAAAATATAATTGGCAATGGCTACAAGACAAGAATTGTCACAAGAAAAGAAATGTTTCATCCATGTTTACAGGTGTATTATCAAGTGGCTAAGTGGAAGTACAAAGAAAAACATACTGTTCCTTTCCACTGAAGTTCATCAAAATCAACAATACGACTATTTAGATGTATGAGAGCTGAGTTCTGCCCTGTCCATTGTAAGACATGAATCATACAATCATACTAATGGCATATAGTTACCAACGGCAAAACAGGGAAGGAGAGGGATGAGGTATGCTATTTGTCATATAGTCACATGGTATACAGGAACTTGCACAGTCTGCTGCACTGATTACATGTATTTAATTTCAAGATAATTAAAAGGAAAACAACTATACAATACACTTGAAATATTTAATATCCTTTACTTGAAATATTTCATATGCTTTAATGGCATTTATTTTCAAAAATACATCCTGTATTATACTATTGTTAGCACCCATGAAGTTGTTTTAGTTAGACAGTATCTAGAACAGAACAGTAATTTCCAGTACAACAAAAATATGATCTAAGTTACATGTATTTTGATTGCCTTGACACAGTATTCTTTGTGGACACATAAAAGACAAGTTCAGAAGCCAATCTGAATCATTTGTGACTGGGGTTTTTATATCAACAACGTGTTTAATGTTAACTCAGCTGAAAGCCCAATATTTGGCTTTAATCAAGGTGAATGTCTAGCTAGTGAGATTAAATTTAGCTGTTCTAAGAAGTGATAATTATCAATTTAATATACATACTTGAGAAAATATTTGGGATGTACTTACTAGCACCAGCTAGAACTATCTCCACAAATTCAAAGATAGTAAAAAAAATTAAATAATAATATCTTGGATGTCCAAGCAACAAATAAGTAGATTCTTTTTTCTGTAAGCACAGGAGAAATGATAGGACATTACTAAAAGATCTATACAGGTGCTGATTTAATATTAATTGGCTCAATTCAGATACTGGTGAACATTTGGGAAGACTGCAACAGGCACCAGAAACATACTCTTTGCACATGACAGTGCATCAGATTGTTATGTTGAACACATCCCTAACCGCATCTACTGCAGAAAGCAAACAAAACATCACTACAAGACACCAGTCAGTAACCTGTTAATGCTTCAGTTGAATTAATTGTTGCAGGACTCAACAGCTACAATACCTGAGAGTGGGACTCTGGAATAGTTTCACCAAGTTTTCATGGATAATTTAGACAATTACTTGGAACCCTGTCTTCTCTGTAAGGAAACCTTGATGTAGCCTTAGCCAAGAAACAGAAAGATGGAAGCTTATGGACTACCTTGGAATGTAACAGCTTGTGCTCTAAACCAAAGCCAATGTTTTAAAAACTTGCAGAAAACTTCGCTCTATTAGCTTCCCACCACATGCTTGCCCATGACTCACTCAATCAGGTGATAGGATTAAAAAGCTCACAAACTGTCTCAACAACTTCTAACTGTAATGATATGGACCCAACCCCTTAAAGTTGGTGCAAAGGGTTAATTTTCTACAATTTAATTTCTGTTTCATTTCTGAACAGCAGACTGTTCACAGATTAAAGTAGAAAAATCTTGTGATGGTGAAATTGTTTATCACCTATCCTACAAAGATAGTCAGATTTTTGTTACTGTCAGCAAGAACCTAAAAAGTCCATACCAGCCTAATTTTGAAAAACCACCCTGGATGGCATCCTATTGACTGGTCACTATTTCTGCACTTTGAAAAAATCAATGGCAAAGTCTTTTCCCTCTGCCCTGTGGAGGTTAGGTGCCAACAGCAACACAATGCGTAAGGAGAATGTTAATTACATATGCAATTTATCAGTATTAATGCCAATCTTTCTCCAGTTTTGGGGAGGTGATGCTTAAGGTTTTTTTCATACAGAATTTTAGGTGGCAGAGTTGTTCATACAGCAAACCTGAGTGCTCAGTTTTAGCAAGAGAAAACCCTATTTTGTAACTGAAGTACAGTCATTAGGCTTCTGAAATGCTCTTGCCCAAGTTCTGAGAGAAGAACAGTCTGTTTTCTCTTTTACGTTCTGTAACTAGAGGAACATTTACATCCTTGAGTTGCCAAGCCCAAGAGAGAGACACGTAGTTCTATGTGGCAATATAAGCTGTTACACTCTTTCTCCTAACAGGCAAATTTGTTCACCTTTAGAAATCACCAGATCTTAAAAAAAAAAAAAAAAAATACTACAAGCGTTTTCTGCCTTAAACCTCCTGGAAAAAGATGATCATGGTTTGGGTAGATTTAGGGGGACGTCTACTATGAGAGAAATCAGGCTGCGGTTCCAAAGAGAATTTATTCACAACACAAAACACTTTTCCATTTGCCTATGTGTTCAATCAGGTGCAGGATCTTCTTGAAGTTCCTGCTCCTCAAGCCCTCTCGCACACTGCGGTGAGCAGCTGGAGACAGGAGACAACAATCACATGCAGGAGAACCCAAGCAAACTTGTTGCTTTAATGTTCAAAGTGACACCATTGAATTTATGTAACTAAATCTGCTCCCTCATTCATATTCCCTGATGCTTCCCAAGCCTGAAGTCCTTAGTTTTGAGGCTGATCTATAAATTCAATATTAAATTAATTGTGTGTGTCCAAAGCTTACTCTCCAATTTCAGAAATGCTCCTGTGTACCTGAGGTTGGTCAGCAGTGGCACATCAACCAGCTGTGTTATGTGTGTTTGTCGGTACAACCTTGTTTGCCACCGACTGCATTCTCTACACTTAAGCCTTAAGTAGCAAGCTAGCTATTTCTGCACGTCTGTTCTGCAACATGAGTGTTTGGGCTACAATCCTGGGGGACACTGGGAGCAGCAAAACATGCTGTTCTTGTTTATCAGCAATGCCAAATATGATGGCAGGCTGGAGTAACTTTCACCTTTAGAGCTAGTCAATGAGACAGATTCTTCAAACACTGATTCTTAGATTCTTCTACACTTGTGTGCATATGATACACAGTAAAAACTACATGGAATACAAAGAACTGCAGATTCTAAGTTGCAAAGTCTTTGTAGACTTTATATTTGTTGCAAAAATAAAGTGGGCAAAAGGGCAGATCACATGCTGCTTGGTACACAAGAATTTATCAGAGTAAACATATAAATATCACAGGTGACTACCCTGAATACTCCAGAAAAATAATGATGACACCGTAAAAAACAGCCCAATAGCCAAATAATCCAAGCAGCAAGCCGTGTCATCAGGAACAGGACTGTAGTAGTGTGAAGGTAGCAGCTGGAGGTAGAAGGCAATACTGCCTTGTGCTGCATAGAAGGGTTACTTCAAAAAAGTAACCCGTCGTCAGATTTAAGAGTGATGATGAAGAGCTTTATAGATAATTGCATATAGTAATGTGAAAAATATTATTGTTACAAATTAGTAATAGTAGTGTGGTTAGTTAATTAGATTCCTTAATTTATTAGTTACTTTGTAATGTGTTGCATAAGCAGTAAACACTGTAGTCTCTTAAATCAGTTACTCTCAATCCTGCAATCTAAAGGGAAGACAGGGACTGGAACTAACAAATACTTAGTAAAAAAGTATCCCACGAAGTAATAAATTACATAGACAACAGCCTGCAATTTATGACATGAAACTGAAAAGCACATCATGTTAAGCTGAGGAAAGAAAAATCACATATTAAAATCAGGTCTAGCTAGCCAGGCAACAACATAGCAGAAAAGCTTAAGGGGATTACATTATATCACAAACTAAACAGATTCTGATGGCATTGCAGGAAGACATAAAACCTGTAACAGATTTTTAAAAAATAGACAGAAGTGTTATATGCATGTGACATTAAAAAGAATTAATCTATGCTATTTGGCTCAAATGAAGTTTTGCCTAAAATACTATATGCAGTTTGGGACAGGCCCCTTTAAAGATAATTTAGGCAAAATGCAATCCAGAGGAGATGAGAAAAATAGCAAGAGGTTTAGAAAACATAAATCCAGGCCTTTCGGATTTTTTTGCAAGTTATTTAGTCAAGAAGAGACTTTTTGTAAAGCATAATCGTTTTGCAAGTTGTAAGAGTAATGCTGTTACTGCTTTAAGGGTCAAGAGACCAACATAGGATATGGTTTACAGGTAAGCATCCTTTATTAGCCCAGTTAACATACTGAAGGGGGAGGAGTTTGTGGGCAAATTGCTATGAAAAAGCCTTTGGGCATCTTGCCTTCTCCTTACCTCAGCTAAGTAAGTTTAGCTACTAGAGGGCTATTCTATGTGCAACATCTTGTGTTTCTGATTTGAAACTGATTTTCTGATTTGGGGAGAGCACAGCAATCAGCTGTCTTTGCAGAGGGGCCCTGAGGAATAAGAAGACAAGCTCTAAGTGTCAACAACAACACTTTACGCTGGATATTAGAAAAACAATTGCGACCTGCTTGGGAACTGAAACAACACAGGAACAAATTAAGTCATGAAATTGCACTAATTTACTTTGTTTGGGATACTAGGGATAGGCTACACAAACATTCTCCATCATGGAAAGCGTAAGAATATTTAACCTTGCCTCACTGAAGGCAGTAAAGAGACAGGTCACCTCCCAGTTCTATGATACAATAGAATACTCAACTTTCTAAACAGACATTGGTGAAGAGTGTCATCTAGTGGTCCTAATGAAGAAAAAATACTGGTAATACTCTCAAATGCAAGAAAAAGTAGCAATAACATTTTAACAATACTTTATAATAACTAGCCATTCATCACTTGCATTTACTGACTTTAAAATAAGAAAATATACATGAGAATAATTATAGATTTAAATGCTATACCAAAATGTTAGTATTATAGGACCCATTAATCAAACTAACTTCTTTATATAGTTTTACAATTTTACAGTATTTCCATATGCAAAAAGTACACAAAAGGGGAGAACTAGGGACTACTTAGGGAGGAACAATGCCAGGCACCCATACATGCTGCAGGCCGATGGGCTGGAAAGCAGTTTTGAAGAAATTCAACTTGTTGAATAACAAGTTGAATATGAGCCAGCAATGTGACTTTGTGGCAAAGAAGGCAAGTGGTATCCTGGGCTGCATCAGGAGTGTTGCCAGCAGGTTGAGGGAGGTGATCCTTCCCTTCCTCCTCAGCACTGGTAAGGTCACCTCTGGAGTGCTGAGTCCAGTTCTGGGCTCCCCACTACAAGAGAAACATGGAGCTACTGGAGATTAAGTCCAGAGAAGGGCCACTAAGATAATAAAGGCACTGGAGCATCTTGCATATGAGGAAAGGGTGAGAGCTGGGACTGTGCAGCCTGGAGAAGACAAGGCTCAGGGGAGATGTCATCAAGGTGTACCACTATCTGAAGGGAGGGTGCAAAGAGGATGGAGCCAGGCTCTTTCCACTGGTGCCCACTGACAGAGCAAGAGGCAATGGGCACAGACTGAAACACAGGAGGTTCCTCCCAAACATAAGGAAACATGTTTTCACCGTGACAGTGACTGCGCGTGGCAACAGGTTCCCCAGAGAGGTTGTGGAATCTACATCCATGGAAATATTCAAAAGTTGTCTGGACATGGTCCTGAGCAACTGGATCCAGGTGAGCCTGCTTCAGATTCGGGGTTTGGGAAGATGGTCTCCAGAAGACCCTTCCAACTACAACCACTCTGTGATTTTGTGAAAATGCCCTCTTTGTCAAAGACAAATGTTAAGGGGGAAACTCACCAAATGCACAAATAGGAAAACCTCTTTACTCTGCAACAAATAGTGATATTGTACATAAACAAAAACTATTTGCCCATACGAAGTCTGACTTTTACACCTCAACTATAAGCAATAATGCTGCCGGCATCTAGCAGTCTCCTACATATTTTTAAAAAAATTGATAAACCATTTTGCATTGTTCTTCTGTAATTAAAGGATTACAAAATCCAGCAATTTTCCTTCCACCTCCTTCCTTCCTCTGCTTCCTAGGAGCTATTTCCTCTGTCATCCATATGAAGAGTGTAATACTCTTACGAGCAAACTGGAGAAGAAAGAAGGCAAGACAGTCAAACAACTAAGTTACGCTCTGGTTGAATGGGTAAAGGTGGGTATCTTCCCCTTCTCTTGTGCAGGTCCACCTGTAGGTGGGCGTGTATGTTTTTAGGGAGGGGAGAGTTAAGTAGCATGTACATATACGTATGCTAGCAACATCAGCATAATTGAACTGTAGAGGACCTGTGTTGCTGAGTAGAGCAAATTTCCTGATAACAAGCAGAGTGGCAGGGCTCCACCTATGGGGAATAGGAGCTAGCTCGGGACAAGGACTGACTGGCTGAGGCATGAAATCTGGAGGGCAGTGTTAAGAGGACTGTGGCGGGGGCTGGCACAGTCGGAGCTTACAGAAAGTGCAAGTCTTTTGGAGAGTATACAGAAGAAAATGTTGTGATCAGTGAAAGCTGGGTGTGTACGTTTGGAGCAGGCAAGAAGACAGGGATATATGTATGCATGTGAATGGAGAAGTGGGAACAAGACACATCTACACCACCGGAGAACTACTGAAAAAGAATGTCATCATCTGGTAGTACTAATCCTATTGAGAAACTCTGTCCTAAGAAACAGTTGTGCAAATGGATGATGATCACACATCTTCCTTAACAGAGGCCAATTCACCTTTTTACTTTTATTAATAAGTTTGACACTTGCTTTATTTTTTTTTTAAACAAACTATATTTAAGGGCAAACTCAGACTGCCTTTTTTAAAGGTGACAGCTCATACATGGCTTGTTGGAGAAATATTTAGGGCTGGCTAAACCCCAATGTACTACTCAATAAGACTGAGTGAAATCAAACAGCACCTGGACTATCTACTTTCCAGCTATATTTACCCCTTATTGTAAACAGAAATGGAATAATCCACTTTATACACAAAGCGTGCACAGCAGCACTTAACTGTTTAACTTGGATAACAAAGCAACTACGTGATACACATAAGATATCATGTACAAGGTGCACTGGTGCACCTCCCCCTCTCTCTGGGCCAATCTACGAACTTGGGAAGTCTCGCCAGGTCTTAGCATAAGAGTAATGAGTTGGGCAGTTAAGCATCCCTTGACCGTACCAGAACTCTTGCATGGCTAAGACAGGGAGTCATGCTGACTGTCTCAAGGACTCCTGCTGTGCAGCGGAGGCTGGGGACAGAAGCAGGGATAATTAGTGATTTCCTGACAACCTTCAGACATATCTCAATCCTCTCCTGACAGCCTTGGAACATCCTGTATCTGAATCCAAAGTCATTCTCTGACAGCCTTGGAGCCTTCCTTACCTGAATCATTGCTGACATGAAACGGTACTAGTGCACCTGAAATGCCAGTAACTTGCTGATGACTAAAGCCAATCATCTCACGAACCTATAAGCAGTAGTACTAAGTGAGACCCTTTGAGCTCTCCTGGACTGCAGTGCGCTGTGACCAGCATCTCCCTCTGAGTGGGATGCCTCTCAGAGCTCGCAAACTCTTCAGCTGGTGAAGATTGGAGGTCTGTCGCTGAAAGCCGAAAGAGCTGATACTCTTTGCTTGAGGCTTGACCTTTTGCCCATTGAGAAAAATGCCAAAGCATTTGACGTGAATATTTTTACTGAACTTGAGGGGAGTTTTTAACAGGTATATCTCTTTTACTAGCTTGTATGTGTATCTCTTAGTGTCCTTGTGCATGTGTGTATAACCTGAATATTCTACAGCAAGTATATAAATCTATACATAAATCACTGTCGTGAGTTTTTTTCAACTGTGAATAAACCTCAGGCTGCTACTACACTCATAATCCCTTTAGACATAAACCGTTGACCAAGTCGGGGACTAGGAGTTGATCCAGCCGCACCCAGACTCCGACAGGAGTTTAGAAAGCAAGGGGGTCTTCTCTGAGCCTTGTCGCTCAACAGGAGAGTCTCCCTTACCCTTTTCATGTTCCCGATCTCTGTACAAATCACAAGAAATCAATTCTGACTTGATTTTCCTTTGAATGTTTCTCATTTACCCTACTATGTCTTTGGTCTCTGTATAGAACATTTTAGTTTGATTCTAACTTAATCTTCCTTTGTACATTTAATCCATGTATTATGTAATAGAGTTAACCTTGCCATCGAATTCTGTGAAGTCACATTTTTATAAATTCCTATTACATCATTTTTGCCAATACCCTTGAAGGTGATTCTTTAGGTGGTCCAATCCACTCCATCTTGTGACAGAAGGGCTTTCAGAACTCTTTTTTCAGAGCCTTGTAAGGAGCAGAACTTAACAGTAGATGTAAAATATTTCTAGGGCTTTTAAAATCCTAACAACTGCATACAAATATAATTCGCATCTATCTATTAAAAATGTACCTAACTGAAGTATTATTGGGACTTCTTTTTTTTTTAGGGTATGGTAGAACAATAAAGTAAACAGTGATGAAGAAAGAATATAAACAATCACTGATCTATTGACTTACCTTTAATGACAGGGAGCCAGCAAGAAAGAAGTGGTCCACATCAATGACAGAGGCGAGGAAGCCAGCCAGAGTGACCTCAGTGAAGTCACTTTTCTTCCTGAGTCCAATCACTATTGCCCAGGACCACATTCCCAGTATACCATGCACTGCATTATCAGACAAGGCTCGGAGCCAGTCATTCTGCTGAATGAAGGAAAACTGCAGAAGTCTGTCTGCTACAAAGCAGAATATTCCCAAACCTAGGCTAGAAATAACTGAAGCTGTGCTGAAAGTCTGGAGAAGAGCATGGGCCTTTTCAGTCTCAGATGCCATGGCAAAAACCATGTCACAGCACACAAAATGTCATCTGGATATACACTGTGCATTGTCCTTTGTATCGTCAGTTGTTCTGTATATGTCAGAGAACAGGAAGAAAATTATTAAAGAAAAAATCCATTAGCACAAAGCATTTGTTACCACAGCTACAACTGAGCATAAAAACCCCAAATCCAATGTTTGCACTCAATATCCCTAGGGAATTTTTTATTTCAGTTAATTCATTGACTTGAACACTACAGCTCTGAATTAAAACACTTGCCCTGTTTTAATTAGAACAAGCACCTTTGTTAACATGGAAAGCTCTAACTCCACTTTCTGAAATCTGACATTTTACAAAATAATTTGAAACATATTGTCCCGGTTTCGGCTGGGATAGAGTTAATTTTCTTTCTAGTAGCTGATATGGTAGTATAACACACTGAAGTTTTCAGTTGTTGCTAAGTGGTGTTCTAGGACTTTTCAGCTTCTCATGCCCAGCCAGCAAGAAGGCTAGAGGGGCACAAGAAGCTGGGAGGGGACACAGCCAGGACAGCTGACCCAAAGTGGCCAATGGGGTATTCCATACCGTGTGGTGTCATGTCTAGTATATAAACTGGGGGGAGTTGGTCTGGGGGGTGGATTGCTAGTCAGGAACTAACTGGCCATCACTCATTTTGTACATTCCAATTATTTTACTATGTCATGTTATTAATGTTATTATTATCATATTATTATTATTCTCATGTTATTATCATATAATAATTATCATTATTATTTTCTTCCTTTCCGTTCTATTAAACTGTTCTTATCTCAACCCAAGAGTTTTACTTCCCCCCCTGATTCTCTCCCCCATCGCGCTAGGTGGGGGCGGGGGAGGTGAGTGAGCGGCTGCGTGGTGCTTAGTTGCTGGCTGGGGTTAAACCATGACAGACCTTTTTGGCACCAATGTGGGACACAAAGGGTTGAGATAACAGATCTGACCAGAGCATGTTAAAACGAATTTGTTACAAGCATTCATTATATTAGTTTAATAGTTGCTGGTCACAATGTTGATTTATTGGCTCTTAAAGAGTTGTGGTGCTAATTTTTAGGGTTCTGTTATGTATCACCTCACTTGCTGTATATGGTTCCCGTGCTGCTGCTTATCATCCGTGGGAGGTGGATTAACATTTTCGCTTTGATGTAATGTGTAACACTGGTTTATGGTATGATAAAATTATCAGTTGTGGGACTAATCTGGTATATGTACTCAGCACTGTCATCACCTCTTTAACACGGGAGCCATCTGTGGGAAAACATCAGCAGTGGAAGGCTGCCATGTGGAGTCCTACATGACAAGTTGCAGAAACTGCTGAAGGAGAAGGTGAATCGAGTCAGTTTGCAGAGGTGAAAGCCATCCAGCTGGCTTTAGGCATTGCTGAAAGAGAAAAGCGGCCAGCGCTCTATTTCTATACTGACTCATGGCTGGTGGCAAGTGCCCTGTGGGGGTGGTTGCAGCAATGGAAGCAGAGCAACTGGCAGCGCAGAGGTAACCCCCCCTGGGCTGCCGCTCTGTGGCAAGATACTGCGTCCCGACTAGAAAATCTGGTTGTAAAAGTATGCCACGTAGATGCTCACGTACCAAGAGCTGGGCCACTAAAGAACATCAGCACAACCAGCAGGTAGATCAGGCCACTAAGATTGAAGTGGCTCAGGTGGATGTGGACTGGCAACATAAGGGTGAATTATTTATGGCTCGGTGGGCCCATGACACCTCAGGCCATCAGGGAAGAGATGCAACACATAGACGGACTCGTGATCGAGGGGTGGACTTGACCATGGACACTGTTGCACAAGTTATCCATGAACGTGAAACATGTGCTGCAATCAAGCAAGCCAAGCAGTTAAAGCTCCTGTGGTATGGAGGACAGTGGCCGAAACATAAATATGGCGAGGCCTGGCAAATCAATTATATCACACTCCCACAAAGCCGCCAAGGCAAGCGCTACATTTCCACCGGGTGGCTGGAAACATAGCCCATGCCCCGTGCCACCACCCGGAACACTATCCCGGGCCTTGAAAAGCAAGTCTTGTGGCGACACAGCACCCCAGAAAGAAATGAGTTGGACAAGGGGACTCATTTCCGAAACAACCTCGTAGACACCTGGGCCACAGAGCATGGCATTGAGTGGGTATATCACATCCCCTATCACGCACCAGCCCCCCGGAAAATCGAATGATGCAATGGGCTCTTAAAGACTACACTGAGAGCAATGCGGGGTGGAACCTTCAAACACTGGGATGCACATTTAGCAAAAGCTCCCTGGTTAGTCAACACCAGAGGACCTGCCAATCGGGGTGGCCCTGCCCAGTCAGAACTTTTACCTACTGTAGAAGGGGATAAAGTCCCCGTAGTGCACATAAAAAATATGTTAGGGAAGACAGTCTGGGTCACTCCTGCCTCAGGCTGAGGCAAACGCATTCGTGCGATTACTTTTGCTCAAGGACCTGGGTGCACTTGGTGACTGCTGTGGAAGGATGGGGAACGCCAATGTGTGCCTCAAGGGGGTTTGATTTTAGGTGAGAATAGCCAATGAATTAAATTGTATGATGTTAATTGCAGTATACCCCTGCCACTGGATGTTATCATTACTGTAATTGTCATACGCTGTATCAATGGTATTACAGGAAGAATCGCTTAGATTAAGCCAGAATGAACTTTGATAAAACTGAGTGAAACGCAGTAGTGATGGCACCAGAATTGCCTTCAGCATGCAACAATCCAACAGTACACATCATACTCCTGCTGTGCCCAATGTCACTGGCTCGCCGCACTGCACCGAAGCCCGATCCCGCTCTGCCCACCGAGCGGACTTCGCACCATCCCTCCTGCCCAGATAGACTGTTATGCCAGACAGAGCCCAAAGTCATGGACTGAATGAACTCAATGGACATTTTATAGGGATGGCTCAGAGACTGAGGGAATGATATCTCTGTGTGTGTGTGCATGTATATCTATCTATCTATCTATCTGTATCTCTCAAAGGACAGGAAAGGTGATGGTGCTTAACTAGGATGTATTGGAAAGTATGGGACCCGAGCATGATGTAAACAGTATAGAATAAGGAGTGGATACTGTCCTGGTTTCAGCTGGGATAGAGTTAATTTTTCTTTCTAGCAGCTGGTATAGTGCTATGTTTTGGGTTCAGTATGAGAATAACATTGATAGCAAAAACTGAAAACATCAGTTTGTTAAGCAATGTTTCTAGGATTTTTCAGCTTCTCATGTCCAGCCAGCAAGAAGGCTGGAGAGGCACAAGAAGCTGGGAGGGGACACAGCCAGGGCAGCTGACCCAAACTGGTGAAAGGGGTATTCCATACCATGTGTTGTCATGCCCAGTATATAAACTGGGGGAGTTGGCCAGGGGGGATTGCTGCTCGGGAACTAACTGGGCATCGGTTGGCAAGTGGTGAGCAACTGCGTTCTGCATTACTTGTTTTGTATATTACATTTCTTTTATTATTATGTCATGTTATTATTGTTATTATTATCATATTATTATTCTCATGTTATTATCATAATTATCATTATTTTCTTCCTTTCCGTTCTATTAAACCATTCTTATCTCAACCCATGAGTTTTACTCCCCCCCTTCCCCCCCTCCCGATTCTCTCCCCCATCCCACTGGGTGGGGGTGAAGTGAGTGAGCGGCTGTGTGGTGCTTAGCTGCTGGCTGGCCGGTAAACCACAACACGTATCTACGATAATACATTGAATATGTTTCAAGATTTGTCCTGGTCTTAAATATGATATTAAATTAAATCCTTTACACTGTAACAACAACAAAAAGATACAGTTTGGAGGATTCTTAGGACTGATGCTAAAAAAATTTGGGAAAAATCCCAAATCTCTCTCTGCAACAACTGTTGAAACAGTTTCTAATCTATAATCCAAAACACTGTTTTCACTTACATACTTTGTAAACATATATGTATTATCACCCTTGTACTCCTCCCTGAGCAACTCCTTGTTTCGCTTGGAGACTTGCACATAGAATAAGCATTAAGAAAACCAGAACCACTGAAATATCTTTGCTATTTATCACAAACACAAAGACAACAACCATTCAGTCAAGCAGAAGGAACCAAAACTAACTCCTTACAGAGCAAAACTACATATGCTTTTCCTCAGGATGTGCTCCAGCAGCAAACTCTACTGTTACTTTTAGGACTTGTCTACTGTCGGCCACATTACCTTCACAACAGCTCTTTTTGCAGAAAAAAAAAAAAAGAAAATTAACTAATCCCAGCCATTTTACTTTTCAAAAGTTGACCATTGTAATTTGAAAATAAAGGCACTGTTACTAGCATTAATAATCACATAAATGTTCTTTAAAACTATTTATGTTCTATAATTGTTATGAAACCCTTTTGTACAAAGTGATTTCTTGGGAATAATTATTGTCTTTGAAGAACTGCTTGACCCCTCAAAAGAAATTAGAAAAATAATTCAACATCTTAAAGACACCCCCACCCCACTCCCAAGAATCAATTAGAGGATACCCAGGTTATAAAGACAGAGTACTCATTTCTGTGATAACATTAAAAAGAACACTTTTGAAATAAAAATCCTCATATAAATGATGTATTCCCTAGCTTCATTACATTAAACACACCGAAAAGCAGTCTTCAAAGGACAGTATCAATTCTAATTGTCCCAACTGATAAGCTCTTCTGTCCTTTTGGGGAGCCACGAACGTAGACCACAGTATCAAAGCCTACATCCTATCTAAAAATGGATTCTTCCCAAGAAGTTGCTATTTCTGTGCTATACATTAAATCTTGATAATCCTTCTTCATACAGTTCTATCAGGTAAATTTTTACTCTAAATGGGCTTTTTATGAGTGTATTAGACTTCCTTTAAAAATGAATACTTCTAACAATGTTGACACATAAGTTTATGATTTTAAACACATTATTGTTTATAGCCCCAGAAAATATAAATATTTATTCCAGATTATTTACACTCCTGTTTACTGTAGAACTATCCACATGACATGACTACTGGCATTGATCTTTATAGAAAAAAAGCCTGCTGGATCATTTATTTGGAAAACGTTAAAAGAGAGAAGAAATGAATAATACATGAACTTTGCACACAGATGAAAAAAAGTGGGTCAAGTTTAGAGTCTGTTAACCATGACTGGGTCTCTTCTGAATGAACACGTAGACACAAAGTACTTCCTGAAACACTGCCATTTTCTGGTGGGGGACTTTACAAGATACAGTACATTTCTGAACAGATACCATTTTAAGGAACAAATGGTGATCTCCTCACAAATGTTTCTTCTATATAACCATCATGCCAGGTTAGATTTTACTTAAAATTGCCATAAAATCTGTATAAGAATCCAATATGTGAAGAGCTGATGTAGCAACATACCTTTAAAAAGCACACCAGTATTCAGAATCAAACTTACCCCGGGACTAGAACATATTTTTTCCATTGCAGTTGCCTTATTCCAGTAGCAAATGTGGTCTATGCCTCAGCGTCAAGCCTCTGTCCTTTCTGAATCCAGTCTGCCCAGTCCAATGCAGGAAAGACCAAAACTCATTTGTTTCATCCTAAATAAATTGAACCAGGCAGCCGTAAGCACCAATACCACACAAAGCTCTTCAAAACATAAACGACAATTAAACAACAGTCAAAAATACAGAAAAAAGCAACATCTTTTTAACGAATTCCTGAACAAATAAAATTGAGCTAAAAGGAACTTCAGCTAGGGCTTAGAAGCTCTGTTAAAGAAAGTGGGGAAAAAAAGACCATAAAACAAGAGAAGGGCACAAATAAAGATGGAATAAGATAGTAATTAAAAGATAATAAACCCCAATGTCATAAAGTCAGAAAAAGGCACTTCCAGCCTTCTGCTTTAAGTAACTGGATTTCGAAGTATACAGATATTTTAACAGATTTTCCCTTGTAACTGTGTGCCTGAAAGATTCTCACCTAATGAAACATTTATGAGTCATGTCCAGGGATCTCTTTTTAATTTCATCCCATCAGTTGGTGACCCTGGAGTAGATAAACAGAGACCTATAAATTCAAATAGCAACAGAGGACTGTGTCAGTTCTGTGGTAGGCTTACACTGCTTTGCTATGTACTATTAACATGGGCATAAAGTACACAGGAGAAGTATCACTATAGACTTAAAAAAAAAATATCCCCAAATGAGTATGATTTGAGGATTATGTATCATGAAATAAAGGTAACAATGCCAATTGGAAAACATGGACAATATGTAAATGGGTGTCTTTGAGCCAGAATGAAGAACAGGAAGCAAAAATGTGGCTTCAGATTACCCTTAGTCAAGAGCCATGTCCATGGCATAACTGTCCTTTTTAAACAGTCTGTCTTTGCTGTCTTTTATAGACAAAAATGACTGCTATCTGTGTAAAAATCTAGTCATGTTCCCAGGTACAACAGCATAAGTATAAATATTCTGCAGATAAAGAGTGAAATTAGACTAGAAAAAGCAAAACTCCATTCAACCAAAATAATCTCAGAAATTACAATTTTTAATATAAAACTAAAGACTGTATTTTTTGTCTGAAAAATAATGATTTTCAGAATGTTTACAAAATACCACAACAAAGCATCACAGGTTTTTCTATCTTATAAATCTCAGAAAGCATAGTTGTGGAGCTTACATTCTTGTTAGAACAGTGGGAAATAGATGTATTATATGAGAATACTTAGAAACCTATGAGTGGTCAGTCCAGTTCACACATTGAAAGAAAGGTTTAGGTTGGGTTTACATGAACCACATGCACACAACAGCTGATAGAGTAACATGACTTAGAGTTGTGACTTCTCATGACATTTTTATATGAGATAAAGCATAACGTACAATCACCACCTATACCCACAAAATGCAATTTTGCTGATATATTTAATTTCATTTAAGGAAATTATAAAACTCATTTTAACAAATGCACAATTAACATTGTAAATTACTGACATGAGAAGATACTTAGATCAAAGCTGTAAATATGCATTTGGAGAATTAGCTGACACTAAGGCCTTTCAACTCATGGTGTAAGAAAAAAACAAAAATCCAATGGCTAAAATTTTTGTTTAGAAATATTGCTTTCCAAAGTTTTTGGCCCAACTTTGCAAGAAGTTATTGGGTACAAGAATATACATAGGAATTTAATGCATAAAATTAGTAGAATTATGCATTTCATGCAATAAGTCAAAAGATCGCAGTAGTCCCTTATAATTCTATAACCTCCTGAAAAACGATTATTTGATATTGGGTGTTAGTTTATATGAAAAACTCCATAAAGTACAATCACCATTTAAGACACAAGCTCAAACATTCAATGTATTATCTCACGGAAAAGCAGATCCAAGCCTAAAACAATCCGTGAAGAACTGGTAATGCAAGTATTTTTGGGTCAGATAATTACAATGCATTATTGGGACTGGAGGGTGGAAGGAGGCTGAAGAGGAAAGAGGACGAAAGCAGGCAAGAAATCAGTAGGATTCTATCAAGATACTGAGGAACAAACTGAATTAAACCCACAAGCAATTTAAGAAAAACAAACAAACAAAACCCCCATAATATCAGGATTTAATTAAATTGTTTATTTCAGGGACCATAAATTAAAGTGTTTGAAAAGAGATACCACGACACCAGAATGCAGACCTTCTCCTTATTGAATACTTTGGAACTGAGATGCACCTAAAAGAAAGAGTTGAAAGAAATGTCCTAAAAGTATTTAGTAACTAGAAACAGACCACGGTACTATCCAGTAGAAGAAAAAATCATTTGTCATCATAGATAAGAAAGAAAAAAAACAAGGAAGAAAACAGCATGAGCAGTTTATGCATTGCCCTCATTAACTAGAACAGCATTTGGATCATAAACAGCTAACCCAATTTAAGATTAAAATACAATCAGTATATGTAACTAAATAGAGGGATGAAGGAAAGACACGCATGCGGCAGACAGATACACAGAATTAGAGATCAGCAATAATTTTTATGTCACGAGGAAAGGGTATGCTTTGTCTCAACACGCAGCACCAAAGACCCCTCATCAGCCATCTCCTCAATCATTAATAAATAAAAACGTACTGTCACCTTTACCGCAGAAACAGAGCCAAGAGTGTTAGGGAACCTTACACGTAAGTGACACGCCTGGCTTTCGGTAAAGCACCGCATTACCGTTTCTTATGTTAAGACCTGACACGACGTATGGGTACCTCTATTAAAAAAACAGGCATTGGACGCTGGCTCCCGTCAGACTGCTACGACAGCCTTCCCCCGCTTTAGCTTCTTCTCAGTAAAACCCACTGCATTATAAACGCCCCGGGCTCCTCTCACCAACGCAGCCCCGAAACCCCCAACCCGCCGCAGGCAGCCCGGAACCGTGAGGAGAAGCCCGCGTCTACCCGGCCCGGGCGACGGCGGGCGG